TGTGTGCTTGCAGCCCAGAAAGCCAACCATATCCTGGGCTGCATCAAAAGGAGCGTGACCAGCAGGTCGAAGGAGGTGATCCTGCCCCTCTACTCTGCTTTTGTGAGACCTCACCTGGAGTGTTGTGCGCAGTTCTGGTGTCCTCAACATAAACAGAACATGGAACTATTCGAGCAAGTCCAGAGGAGGCCCCAAGGATGATCAGGGGACTGGAGCACCTCCCGTATGAAGACAGGCTGAGGAAGTTGGGGCTGTTCAGCCTGGAGAAGAGAAGGCTGCGTGGAGACCTCATAGCAGCCTTCCTGTATCTGAAGGGGGCCTATAGGGATGCCTGGGAGGGACTCTTCATTAGGGACTGTAGTGACAGGACAAGGAGTAAGGGGTTAAAACTTAAACAGGGGAAGTTTAGATTGGATATAAGGAAGAAGTTCTTTACTGTAAGGGTGGTGAGGCACTGGAATGGGTTGCCCAGGAAAGCTGTGAATGCTCCATCCCCAGCAGTGTTCAAGGCCAGGTTGGACAGAGCCTTGGGTGGCATGGTTTAATGTGAGGTGTCCCTGCCCATGGCAGGGGGGTTGGAACTAGATGATCTTAAGGTCCTTTCCAACACTAACTATTCTATGATTCTATAAATGATACAAGCCAGTATATGAATCAAGAGAAATAGACAGCAAGTTCTGCCAAGGTGTTCAAAAGAATAAAAATCAAAAAGTAGCTCAGTTAAACTGCAAAGAATACTGAGTACTTGTGAAAAGTATCACAACCAAGCACTACAGCTTGCAAAAAAAAAAAAAAACAAAAAAACAAATCAAAGAGAATTTCTAATGAACAATGTCACCTTTGTAGCATGTTGGGGTTTTATTACTGTTGTATTTCATTGTACTAGTTAAAAACATGAATTTTTGAAAAGGGTAAAGAAAAGTAGGTATAAAATTCAGGTTACAAACAAATACCTATGAGAATAAGTACATTTTTGATGCATGGTTAGATGTGGGAAAATCTCACTGGCAGAATCTGTTGCTAGATTCAAAGAGAAGGTCAAGCTAGCAAACACATAAATAGATTTTAGAAGGCTGAGTGATAACAAAAAGCAACTGTCCCTAAGAATAGTTTTTATGCCATGTACCTACCCTCTGTAACAAAGCAAGCAAAACAGAAAACCTAGTGTTTGGCAACAATTAAAATTCATCTGAAACAACATGACATACACACCCAAAAAAAAAAAAAGAAAAACCAAAACAAAACACCCACACCAAAACCAGAACAACAGACATCTACAAAGCTCATATGCTCATTTTATCATTTTATAACACGAAAGCCTTCATAACATTTGGGCTGTCATTGATATATTAAGGCTTCTTATGGTTTTCTCTGCTATAAGGGGAGGAAAACACCAGGACAGAAGATAAGATTTGCAAAGATCCATTAAGTACTGACGCAGGTAGAGTTCCCTTTGGCCTCTGAAAAACTCCCTAATTGACTTCCTTATATAAATCACCATTTTTTTAAATAAATAAATAAAAGTCTACTTCAATCATAAATGGAACCCAAGACTCTTGAATTCCATTTTCATGCCTCATGTAACCGGACAATATAGCAGGAAAAAAAACCCCTATGCAACTAGAACTCAAAAAACAATAGTATATGTTGCCAACACTGCAGTATGTTTTGTCATATGGAATCATGTACAGCTATTAATCCCTTCTATTCCTGCAAAACCAGGAAAATTTTGTTGAGTCTGACATGTTTCAAATCAAGCTCTGAGATAGGTCACACCATTACAAAAGTTGTTATGGATTCGGCATTGCAGTTTTATTATTGTAAGAACAGATGTCCATTTTAAGCAATACAGCACTGCTGCATATGAAGAAATGATTCTGAACACCTTCTTGCTGCATAACTTCCAGAAATTCAAAAAGAACTTCCAAAAAACAAATGCTGAAAACTAAATTACAAAAGCGCATGGCAGAATGCAATGAAATTAAACCATCTTAAGTACACAACTACTCTCTGCAGAAATATTTTTGTAAGAATTTTGTAAGTGTCAGCACTTACCTGTGGCACCATACAAAAAGACTGTGACACTTCCCTCACTCATAGGTTCATCCAAAGTCCACCAAAGTCATTGTGGCTCCTGAAACATTAGTAAGAGAAAACCAGAAGGGACTTAAAGATCCGCAATTTGGCAGGAGAAGAAAAAAAAGGAATATATAACAAATATGAGAGTAAATGGAAGTATTTAATTAATCTTCAGTGGAAAAGATTGCAACCAGATGCTTAATTTTGATAGCAGGCACAGCAGGATCAGAATACTTATTACTGATATTAAGCTGGGTTAGAAATTTAAATAAGAATGGTATAATAAAATTCTTGATACCGATTATGTAGAGAACTAGCCAAAGCATTTTCCTTGAACTCTGAGCAGTATGCATTCAGCACATAATGTAGGTCAATAAAGTGACAATAACTAAAGAAGGGCAAACATCCATCTTTTAAGGTGAGGGGCTGTACTGCATTTGTGTGTCAAGGTCGAGGGGGAGGTGAGGCAGGGACTATAAGGGTGGCTTCTTTGAGAAGTTGCTAGAAGCTTCCCCCATGACCAATAGGGTCAGTTCCAGGCAGCTCTAAGACGGACCCACCACTGGCCAAGGCCGAGACCATCAGTGGTAGCACCAGACAGAGGAGTGAGAACATGTGAGGGAAGCAGCCCTGCAGACACCAGGGTCAGTGAAGAAGCAGGGGGAGGAGGTGCACCAGGCACTTTAGCAGAGATTCCCCTGCAGCCCGTGGTGCAGACTGTCCCCTACAGCCCATGGAGGTCCACAGTGGGGCAGACATCCACCTGCAGCTCATGGAAGATCACAGACTGGAGCAGGTGGATGCTCAAAGGAGGCTGTGACCCCATGGGCAGCCCACGCTGGAGCAGGCTCCTGGCAGTACCTGTGGCCCCATGGAGAGAGGAGCCTGCGCTGGAGCAGGTTTGCTGCAGGACTTGCGACCCATGGAAGGGACTCACACTGGAGCAGTTTGTGAAGAACTGCAGCCTGTGGGAAGGACTCACATTGGAGAAGTTCATGGAGAACTGTGTCCCATGTGAGGGACCCCACACTGCAGTCCTCCCCTGAGGAGGAAGCAACAGCAGAGACAAATGTGTGGAGAACTTAACACCACGTAGTCCCCGTCTCCCTGCACCACTGAGGGGGAAGGAAGGAACAAACGAGGAATTAAGAGATGCGTGGAACAAATAAGAGGAATTAGAGATGTGTGCACGTCTACGGGGGTATGATATAATAGGCATCACAGAAACATGGTGGGATGGCTCCTATGACTGGAGTGTTGGAATGGAAGGTTACAGGCTCCTTAGAAAAGACAGGCCTGGCAGGCAGGGAGGGGGAGTTGCCCTTTATGTTAGGGATAGGCTGGAGAGTATGGAACTGTCTGGGGACAGGTGAGCAGTTAACAGAGAGTTTGTGGGTCAGGGTTAAAGGGAATGTAGCTATGGGAGACATTACTGTGGGGATCTGTTACAGACCGCCTGATCAAGGAGAACCTGCGGATGAAGCACTCCATAGACAGAAAGGAAAAGCCTCACGCTCACAGGCCCTTGTTCTCATGGGTGACTTCAACCACCCTGACATCTGTTGGAAGGACGGTACAGCCCGGCACAAGCAATCCAGGAGGTTCCTCGATTGTGTACAAGACAACTTCCTTCTGCAAGTAATAGAGGAGCCGACAAGGAGAGGTGCCATGCTTGACCTCGTGCTCACCAACAGGGAAGGGCTCCTTGGAAATGTGACACTCCAGGGCAGCCTTGGATGCAGCGATCACGAGATGCTCGAATTTGAGATCCTCAGGACAGTGAGAAGAGCGTGCAGCAAGCTACCTGCCCTGGACTTCAAGAGAGCAGACTTTGGCCTCTTCAGGAACCTGCTTAGGAAGGTTCCATGGGATACAGCCCTAGAGGGCAGGGGGGCCCAAGACTGTTGGTTGATATTCAAGGATCACCTGCTACAAACTCAGGAGTGTTGCATCCCAACCAGAAGGAAGTGCAGCAGGAGGGCCAGGAGACCTCCTTGGATGGACAAGGAGCTCCTGAGGAAAATTCAAATGAAAAAAGAGGCTTATAATAAGTGGAAGCAAGGACAGGTGACATGGGAAGAGTACAGGGATGTTGTCCGGGAAGCTAGGGACCAGGTTAGGAAAGCTAAGGCCCAGTTAGAATTAAACTTGGCTAGGGATATTAAGGATAACAGGAAGGGATTCTACAAGTACATAGCAAATAAAAAACAGACTAGGGAGAACACAGGCCTCCTCAGGAAGCTCTCGGGAGAACTGGCTACACAGGATTTGGAGAAGGCTGAGGTTCTGAATGACTTCTTTGCCTCAGGACTAGCAGATGTCCAGGATGGGCACAGTTAAACTAACTGATAAGTAGAAGGGCAGGATGATTGCTATGTTTGTGGCGTTAATAAACCCACTAAGCTGGTGAAAATACCTACTGGGGAGTATCCTGGACTAGCTGATGTCCAGGATGGGAGCAGTTAAACTAGCTGAGAAGTAGGACAGGATGATTGCTATGTCTGTAATGTTAATTAAGCTGGTTATGAAGATTGTTGGGAAAAGTAAATGACCCTTAAAGACCACCATCACATTTTTGTATGCAGGCGGGAAACTTTCTGGAAAATGATGCAATATGCCCAGTGGCCATATAAGGATGGCCTGCATGGCAATACAGCGACACACGTTAGGAGGAGCTATTCCCCGTGTCTCCCGGCTCTGCAATAAAGAGTACCTGCTTGTCAACTTGAAACTCTGTTGGCAAGTTTGTTCCTGGAGTTTTCTCCGAATCAAAATGAACATCTGATTCACACTGAGAAAATATCTGCAAATCACTTTCATACTCAATGCATGTTTCAAGTAGGGTCGCACTGGGATTTGTTTTGGCGTTAATCATATTCATTTTGTTAGTAACATGGATGTTGAACAGCAAGAATACTTCAAAAGTACATGGGAATATTGTAGAGACAGAAGTGGCTACTACAGGACAAAGAACAGCATACTGAGATAGGTTTGGCCACCCTATTTTTAAATTAAGATGGATCCAAACTGGAGTGTGCTGAGAATGAAAAGACTGAACAAGTTTCCTAAATTTCTACATATGGACAAATGCTAATGAAACTTGGTTTGCTTCTTCAGCGAAGAGATGTCCAGGTCCCGCCCATATGGAGTTTAGACAGCAATTATCCTTATAAACAGACACTTTCTCTTGCACCCTCCAGCAGTAGAGCACAGATATTAGAGTTCTTCCTCCTGCTGTGCCACCCATGGACATGGTGAACCTGAATCCCCAGTTAGAAAAACAGGCTACCAAACTGGTTTCCAAGACTGAGCCATTTTGGTCTAGTTGTATGTGATCCTGCCCCTCTGCTGAAGCCCTGCCTGAGGTCCCTTCCAGACCAGATTTCTGTTGATTGTGTTATTTTTATTTCCTGTTAAATGAAAAAAAAAAAAAAAAGACATAACCAATTAGCAAAACTTTATCAAACTTCTACACAGATAGCTGTAAGTAAGCCTTCATTTTCTGACATTCTCTTTAGACTTATTCAGACTATGAGATTATTCTAGCTTTTTACTTTAAGAATGTTTTCTTCCCACCCACTATGAATGCCAAGCCTGTCAATCACGCTAACAACAACAAAATCCATATGGGACAGTTTAAGGAAGAAGAACAGACATGAGAAACTGCTCCTTTAACTTATTTGGAACCAACTCCAGCACGCGTGCCTGGGAGAAGAAAAATGAGTATATGGTAGGTCATGTTGCTTTCATTATTTTTTTACAAAATGGGCAAAAAAGGCAGTGACAATGATTCATATTTTATATACAGTAACGCTTCACTGAGTTCACTGAGTTATTTTGTTCAAGTATATTTTCCCCAGGAGCAGTATTCCAGCGTTACATCCAGTAAAATAAGTTGCTTGCAGCTGCTATGGGTTTTTGCAAAGCAGAACTTGATTTTGAAAGTTTTGAAATAAGTTTAACACATTTAGCGCTTATGTTCATGAAAATACATAGCTGTATTTAGTGTTTAGTAAGAGATGACAGTGGTATGATCTAGGAATCAGGTTTTATATTGCTTATTAACTGTTTCTATGAAACCACAAACTGAGAACTTACTTTATGAAACTCCAAGAAGCGGTAGCCTGTAAAAACATGTATTTTATGTGGCTTGCATGTTTTAAAAAGTAGAAAAAAAAAAGATAAAAACATTGAAATATATATTTTAAAGGTGTGTTAACTCTGCTTTATATACAAGTTATGCATGAGAGTGAATTTCTGTTCAGGTCAAATTATGTGGTGTATAAAATGCACACAAGAACTACGACTCTTCTGAAATTTGGTAGTTCTCATGTACTAGACATCATTTTTACTTAGGGCTCCAGAAAAAAAAAATTAAATTTCTCAATGTACAGAATCAGATTTCTGTCCTTTTTTTTTGAGAAGTGAAACTAAACAGTAAGGATGAAAATATTAATATGTCCAGTTAGATATAAGTTTAAAATGACACATTACACTCTGCACATGTACCCAAACACATTTTTGACTCTACTCAAACAAATTTTTGACTCTGCCAGTACCCATGCCAGATCAAGATGCTCCAGAGAATATTCAGTAGCAAATGAGCATGATCTGCCCAGGGCTAGTGCTTGTTATTCAAGTCTCTACAATCTGCTTGAAAGTTATGTGTAGGCACCTGGACATTTGAAGAAAACAATCTGTGGCCTGTCTTCACTTGGTGGACTTGAAGCCTGGATATTCTGCTCAAGATTTCCCCCACAGCCAACATGTGTTCAAGTGCACATATATTTACTTGGATTCCATGTAAGTGATATACTGCACAGAGTAACTAGAAATATGAGGTAAATAAGTAGAATCGGTAATCAAATCCGGGGTCCTTCTAGCCAACAATTCTTGAAATAATCCCCTTGAGGGCAGTGTAAAGCAAGTGTAAGTGCATGATAATTTTCTCCATTTTTGTTGCACACACTTAAGGAAACAAAACTACAGCATTGATCAACATGAGCATCAAGAGACTAGCTACAGGATTTCAGATGAGCCTCCCCACATGCCTGCTGGGTTTTGTTGTTGTCGTCATCATTTTTAATCTAAAACACAAATGGCGAAATATTTCTTGTGAGCTACAGTCCCCGTGGTTCAATCACTTCTGCTACAGCCCCTTTCAGAACCCAAAACTGAATATAACCTTTCCAAATAGATCTCTCTCTCTCCCAGTGAAGAGGTGAACTCCATAAGCATTGGCCTCTTGAGAACACCCTCCTTACAAGCCAGAATACAAATTAAGGCAATGTCAGCACAGGCAACAAAAGAAGAATTAGACAGAAGGTAGTGCTGGGGCAGAGCAATCAGAGGTAAGCCAGGTGGGTAAGAGGGAGGCCTGGGCACAGGAGGTGGGTGAGCTGGCAGGGCAGAGCTTCAGCTCACACTGCAGACGACCAGGCAGTGCAGGAATGTGACAGTGGAGGGCAGCAGGCAGCAAGGAGCAGCTCCTGGCATGCCAGTATTTCTGCAAATGCTAGTGGCCTAATGGGCAATCGTAGGAAGAGGAGGTGCAGGTACTGCTGGCAGCATGCACTGAATTGCAAAATCCTTAGCACACTATTTTTAATTGGCCTTTGAGATGTTCTGAACTGCTTACACCTACTCCATGACCAAACCCAGCCTGCACTGCATAAATAGCAGCTTTGCTGTGCTTCACCTTAATTCACGTTTCACACCTGATGCCATCTGTTATTTTGTTGCTTCCCCACTGCAGCCATTAAGCCTACAACTGATGTATCTCCCACACAGCTGCTTCCCACCTCCACCATACATGAAGACCCTGGTGTATAAGCTGACACAACTAATTACTCCTGCTCTCAAACTAGGCAAACAAAATCTACTGAGGAATACTTGCACCTCTTTCCACTGGTCCTTGCACACAGTAAAAGAGTATCACTCCCTCCTGTCATCCAGGGAGATGTTACCCCCTCCCCTCCCCCTCGGAACAACTCAGCCAACACTATGAAACATTAACCACTATGAAACACTACGGAATTCCATATCATTTTTCTTACAGTGTGCCACCAGGCACTTGGAGATTATCCCGAGGCAGCCAAGTTTCAGTTGCAAGAGCTTCTATCTCAATTCTGCATTTCTGAAATTCCAGGAGTTGAGTTTTGCCAGATTCGATATTCTGCAGTCACAAGACAGCAAACTGGCAGCAATTGACCTGTCAGTCACTCTAACAGCAAAAAAGCCATGCAAGAAAATCTGAAGGATAGCACATGAGACATTTCAACTTAGCTGAAATACACTTTAATCTTTGAACATGTGCCCCAAATCCATTTTGCACTGGGAAATAAAACAGGAAGAGTAACTGGAAAGCAGAATATAACATTCCTTCGTCTCCAGCCTTTTATGGAAGCTTTTATGTTTGTCCTGTTGTGGTGACTCAGAACTGCTGAGCAAAATAATCTGGGTTTGTTTCAGCAGCTGCAGCTGCATCTTTGCAATTTTATTGCCCATTCTATAAAGCAATGTCTCAAGCATTTCCCCCTTGCTCCATTTTAGAAGATGCACCCTGCCCCCCCTCTCCAATTTAAGAATTGTATATGCTGCTCCCCCAAACTTCATTCTGTGTTAAAGCTGAAGAGGCAGAGAAGGGCAGTGAGTGGGGCAGGCATGCAGCTCAGAGGAGATGGCTGGAGGGACAGGGGTGGGAAAGGGCAGAAGTTCCCATCCTGAGCCTCATCTGCTCTCCGCCCTCTTAACTCCATCTGAGCCCCAGCCTCCCATAAAAACATTTGTCTTTCTCCTCCTGCAGCCCAGGAGTGATTCCTGGCTGTGCCTGCCCAGACCACTGCACATCTCCCTCACTAAAGGACAACAGGCATGGATCCAAATTAGGAATCATTGGTGTAGCATATATCATAAGTATGCATGCAGCATATGTAGAAACTACACCCAAACCAGCAAGTCCCTGAGTTCAAAATGGTTGTCAACTGGGAGAATACTATGGAATTCTTACATGCTTGCCCTGTTTCTATACAGCTTCCTAGGTACCTCACTTCTGACCACAGTCAGAAATAAGATGCCAGGCTGGATGAACTTGTGGTCTGATTCTGTACAAGCATTTTATGCTAGCCCTACCTTTTGAAAAGATAATGTAGCACTGGAATGAATTTATTGAGAATTTGTTTTTAGCAGCAATTATAATCAAGGGAATAAAGAATGTGATTCTTTGATGTGACAATATGGAAGTAAAATTTCTGCAACTGAGCTCTGTTTTTAATGTCTAAACACCACTGCACAATATGTCAAAACCCACAAGCAAAACAAATACAATCTGAAGGCAAATCCAGGCAGCTGGATCAAGGAGTTCAGCTTAGGGGAGAGACAGCTATTACTAACTGGTTTTGTATAGATATAGAATCATAGAATCATAGAATAGTTAGGGTTGGAAAGGACCTTAAGATCATCTAGTTCCAACCCCCCTGCCATAGGCAGGGACACCTTATGCTAAATCATATCACCCAAGGCCTCGTCCAACCTGGTCTTGAACACCGCCAGGGATGGAGCACCCACAACCTCCCTTGGCAACCTATTCCAGTGCCTCACCACCCTAACAGGAAAGAATTTCCTTCTTATATCCAATCTAAACTTCCCCTGTTTAAGTTTTAACCTGTTACCCCTTGTCTTATCACTACAGTCTCTAATGAAGTCCCTCTCCAGCATCCCTATAGACCCCCCTTCAGACACTGGAAGGCTGCTATGAGGTCTCCACGCAGCCTTCTCTTCTCCAGGCTGAACAGCCCCAACTTCCTCAGCCTGTCTTCATACGGGAGGTGCTCCAGTCCCCTGATCATCCTCATGGCCCTTCTCTGGACTTGTTCCAACAGTTCCATGTCCTTTTTATGTTGAGGACATCAGAACTGCACACAATACTCCAGGTGAGGTCTCATGAGAGCAGAGTAAAGGGGCAGGATCACCTCCTTCTACCTGCTGGTCATGCTCCTTTTGATGCAGCCCAGGATACGGTTGGCTTTCTGGGCTGCAAGCGCACACTGCCGGCTCACGTTCACTTTCTCATCAACCAACACCCCCAAGTCCTTCTCTGCAGGGCTGCTCTGAATCTCTTCTCTGCCCAACCTGTAGCTGTGCCTGGGATTGCTCTGACCCAGGTGTAGGACCTTGCACTTGGCATGGTTAAACTTCATGAGGTTGGCATCAGCCCACCTCACAAGCGTGTCAAGGTCCCTCTGGATGGCATTCCTGACGAAAGAGTTGCCATATTTAAACCTCTAAGATGGTGATGGCAGAAATGTTTTATAACCAATTTCAGCAGAATTTAACTAATTTCAGTGATGACAGATATTTGTATATGTTGATATAATAATTTACAGTTTCCTTATACTGGAAAGAGTCACAGAAGATTACTGGTACTTCCTAAATCATCTTTTATAGGCGTTCACTTTAAGTGAGCAAACAGGAAAAAAATTGCAAAAAGGACTTCCTCCTAGGGTTTCTAAAACAGCTCAGTAAAAACCAGTGAAGCAACAGTTCAGTGTTACTCATAGATCAAGTCTTTCTCACTGGATAGCAACATGGCCACAAAACTACCATCTCAAGAGGAATTTGAGAACTGGACAGCTTTTCAAGTTGCAGATCTCCTAAGACAGGTACTGAATGTATAGGTAACACTTTAGACAGCCCAGTCTAGCTAGCAGAAGCTCTTACTGGATTTATCTTTGAAAAACAGGTATCTTACCTTAAAACTAGCACAGATATTCCAAAGTACTGAAAACAGATTAGTCAGCAATTGTCATCCCCAAGAACTTATTAATTTTACGTATTTCCTGGTGCTCTCCTGTTTTTTATAGAAATCTAATTCATAGTAGGAGCTGCTAGCTAAAATCTTCTACATGACAAATCATATAAAAATGTTCACTTACAGTGATATTTCTTATAATAGAAAAAGTATTTAATGCCCCAATTTATTTCCTGCTGGGAAGACATAAATGTTTCACTGAAAGTGGGTCTAGATTTTATATTTGATTATTGCTTTAGAATTTATAGCTTGTCAATAAGAATCTACTGTTCATCTTTTCTTTCCAATGCATATATACCAATAGTAGTTGATAGATATTGTTTAAATTTAAGATTTAAATTGAGATTTTTTTTATTGGTGGTGTTTTGGTGGTTTTTGGTTTGGGTTTTTTTTTTTGGGCAGAGGGGTGTTAAATCATTCCTTTGTCTGTACATTTCCTAGTTCTGCAGTGTCATTTTTAGCATAAGTAAAATAACCTGAATTGCACAAAATAGTCATCCTTTTACTATTTGGATAATCTCCTCCAAGATACATAAAATATATCCTCTGTGATACATTCTTTTTTAGTATCAGATTTTTTCCTTGTAAGTACTGAATACTGTGACTCAGGTTTTAGACTTCTACCTGTGTTAACTTACACAATAAACTCCATTCATTTTGATATGTGGTCTCATTTTACATTCCTTTTGGGGTTTTGTTTGGTTTGGGTCTTTTTAATGCAAATTTGTCTATACAATTTTTATATATAGGATTTATCTGTCTTGTGTTCATCCTACTTCTAAACGTAGCACTGATCCATTAACTGCTTTACACCAACAGTGAGAATGTGTCATTAAGTTTTCTCACCCTTTTCAACTGATGGAGCATACACTCTTTATCAAGGAAAATAATGCAGTGTAATGAAGTGTTTCTACAAGATTCCAGTTTGTAGTCATGTAAAAAATAAGCCAAAGTTTAGAATGTCCATGATATATTTTTATTTCTCCATTTTGCCTTGTGCAGAAATAAATATGCTTGTTCATGTACAGACTAAAAAAAAAAAAAAAAAAAGCAAAACCAACCAACAAACAAACCAACCCCAGAGTTTTACAATCCAGATGTATCACAGGTGGGTCACTATCCCCACACTGAGAAAGCTGATCTGTTCTATAGAATTAATTCATACCATAATGATAATGTATCAGCTAAACTGTGAACGTATTACTGTGAACAGCTACTCAGAGGATTAATTAGCTCAAAGCCTTTCAGCTTAAAGGAAATCAGACTAATTAACAGAAGATATAATGATTTTAAAGTACCCTGCAATTCTACAGCAGAATACAAGGCAGAAAATTAATCACAATTGTTCAACAACTCAGAGGCTTCCAGGGAAATTTCAGCAGGCACACCATAACTACTGGCTTCATACTTGCTAAGAGAGAATCTTCCAACTTTATAAAAAGCTGTTAAAGCCTATGCTTACATTTGCATCACTGATTAAATAAGCTAAGTGATCTAATTACTACAGTATAACCAACATTAAGTACTTGGCCATTCTGCATATCAAAGAGTAGCACTGTGAAGTAGCAGCCATTTGCCTGCAGCCACCATGTACAGAGCTGTTCAGTTCCTGCTACCAGCTCTCCAGAGGGCCGCAGCACCAGACATTACCATCATTTCCACAGTCAGCCAACATGCCGGGGCCTGCGCTAGATCTCCCCTGCTCCAAGACTGGCCATACATGTGCATGAACCCTAAAATAATGCTGTTAAGGTTGCAGAAACAAGCACTTAAATGTGACAGAGCTGGGATTACCTCTATAACCTGAATTTACCCTCTTTTACATACGTACCATGATAGTCTGTAATTGCTTCTTCATGTACTACCTTTTCCATTCGCAAAAGCCTTCCTCTTTCGATACAGAGAAACTGGTATGTTTGGGCAGTACTTTGGACCATTACAGAAATTGTAAGGTGTGCAACGCCAGTGCTTGCTGAAAAAGAGAATGAACTCATGGTGACATTGATTAATTCTGCCTTGAAATATCAGATTCCGTCAGTACCCCAGCATTTTAACCTGAAGCCATGAAAGTCAACCAGAAAACACATGATAATTCTGAGAGCTTGACTTGAAATTTCAGGCTCCAATTTGCAGAAGTGGTGAGAGGTGAGATTTGCAACCACAGTGGCAGCTCTGCTCAGAAGATAAAAATGCCAAAATATTGAATATGCAAATATACATGTATAGCTCACAGATCCTAAATAACTATAATTAGGCATACAAAACCACTGAATACTGTATGAGTTTTATCATGCCCCTCAATCCCCCTTACTAATAGTTTTAATCTCACAAAAAACAAAACAAAACAAAACAAAAAAAAACCAACAAAAAACCCACAGAAAACCCAGTTACTTAATGTCTCTGAAGCAACTGGACAATAAAATGGGTGTTGTGGAACAGTTCAGAACAAAGAAAAATACAATTCTGAATTCAAAGAAGGTTTGAATACTGTACAGTACAGGTATACAAGATAGAAGACAAGCAGTGAGCACTAAACAGAACACAATATATCAAAGGGCGGTTCAGGAAAGTCACATCAGCTTCTCATGCTGTGATTGAGGCTGGGTCTTCTAGAGCAGGTATACTGAGGTTGGTGCCATAACATACATGTACAAGGCATATGTGCAGTGCAATTTTAGCATGTCCTTAACTTTGTCTTAATGATGTTTCCAAGACAGATTTTTGTGTGTCATAACTACAAAAGTTATTAACTAGCCATTTCCAGCCTCATGAAAGGCATTTGCATAAAATTAACAACTTCACTACTAAAAAAATAATCAAATAATTTTTACTTTTTTCCTCAAAAGTAAGTGAACATAATAATGGAAACCTGTTAGCCATGTGCATGTATTTCCCTGTTATCTTGCTTCTATGCTATAATTGCAATTACACTGAGATATTCCATGTTGCATTCAGTTTATCTGCTTCCTCTGTTTGACATGTAGTCTAGTCCCTAGCACTGATCTTAATGCTGTGGAGTTAATCTATTCGTTAGAAAATGAAAAGTTCTGTGGTCATTATTAAACACAGGAGTGACACATCTGCTTGTCTGACAAGCTAACAACATAGAACAAATAGAGTAAAAATCTAATTTTACTTTACACAAAGGTTACATGCTTGATTAACAGCATAAGACAAAACACAAAAGCAAACCATCATGGTCAATAATTGAAGATAAAGCAAATAACTAGAAATAGATGGGCAACAGCCAAGAGCAGAACGTGTGCATTACATTGATTCTTTTCCTATCCTCCAACATCAGTGCAACTGATGGTAAATTAACACATCCCACAACCAACCATTGGTCCAACACCCACAGTAACCCTCTCCTCTGAATTGTGATCTAATCTGTATTGCGAATGAGCAAAACTCTCTTACTCATACAAAAGAACAATTTATAAACTCAAGCATATTGGCTTATAGGCAAAACAAATTATCTGAAATTCTGAATACGAAATTTTCATATCAAAAAAGTAAATAAAATACACTTTGTTTTTAAGTGGGATCAGTTTTAAGTATTGTAAAAATAAAGAATAATATTAGAAAAGCCATATAGGAATATTTATATAAGAAGAATTTATTTTCACTAATATTTCTGTGTTAGTAGTTGGTAATTACTGCTACAGAAATTTACCGCTAAGCATTACAAATACTAAAGCTCATTTCAAATGTGCTACATTTTAAATAATAGAGTTGTAATTTTTTTACCACTTTCACAGAATCATAAAATGGTTTAGGCTGGAAGGGACCTTAAAGATATCTAGTTTCAATCCCCCAAAGGTGTCCAAAGGGTATTCAAAACCCCATCCAGCCTGGCCTCGAATGCTGACAGGGATGGGGCATCCACAATTTCTCTGGGCAATCTGTCCCAGTGTCTCACCACCCTCGAATCAAAAAATTTCTAGCTAATGTCTAATCTAAATCTCCCCTTTCTATGCATAACACTGTAATTTCTTTGAAAAGCCAGGCTAAACCATCTAACATGCAGTGAGATTGTTGGGACATCTTCAGCCCTGCTCCATTCCTTGCTACTTTTAAAAAAAGGAAATCCAGTGTGTGCATTTTTTTTCCAAATTACTATTAAGCTTTCCGTCATAGACACTACTTCCAGACATTCCTGTTTCACTTCAATTTATAATCAACATCAACTTTCTTAAAAAAACACCACAACCATGTTACAGAAAAGAAATCCTGTTTCTGAACCTGAATTATTTCCAGCAATGCCCATCTATCATGGGAATTGCAAAACACACTTAGCCCAGTCATCTGGTGCTGAAACCAAGCTACCAGCCAGAGCATAGAGAGGTTGGTAAACAGACATGTAACAGACCTTTCTCTTAGATAGCCTTAATTTTCCAGCAGTCAGTGATATAACCACTTTCTGAACTGATTACACAGCTACTGATGGACTTTTGTCACAAGCTACATTTTAACCTGTTTCTGATGCTGGCCTCCTCTTACTCCATAGCAATTAAAGTTCCACAGTGTATTTCTGTTGGGCTCATTGTTCCATTTGAGTTACATTTGCTGCTTTATAATTCCATCTTGTCTACTTCATTCATGATATTCTTGTTAAGAAGTAATATTGTATCTTATCTCTGATGTGGGAGTCACTACCTATTTCTAATAATTACAGTTATTCTCTCCAATACTCTTTTTCTAATTATCCATGTCAAATAGTATAAAAATTTCCACAACCTCAAGTATTTGAGCATGGAAATATTAATTAGTTTGTTTACAAATGTCAAGTTTTATACTTTTGTAATAATTCTACTTTTTCTCACCTCAGTTTGGAATGCCTGAATCTGCTGTGGTTATAGAAAAACTGGGCATGAATGGATCTCATTTCTTGGTAAGCAAATATTTCAGAAGAGCTATCATTCAAGCATATTTCAGCATGAGGCTTGTATTCCTTACAGTGCCAGGAAATAATATAATATTTTTCTTCCTCATACACACTTCATCAGTTGCTCTGATTTTCCGCTTTAGTGGGTTGATTTACATCTCTGACTCAAGGAACACCCTACACAACAGAAACCCAGCCAGCCCCATCAGAGAGTGTGCAGATATATAGAATCAGCCATTAGCACAGAGCTATAACAGGGAATGTCTCATGAAGTATGACTTCGAGGGATTCAGGGCTTTTTAAAGAAAATATATATTTTTTAAAGCCATCGTTTATGTAATAGCTTTGTCATAAAACTTGCATGATTAAGAACATTTATCAGTACAGAATTCTACATGAATCTTACAATAGAAGTTTACAGATACCAGGAACAATGTCTGAAAAAAAAAAAATCTGATAACTTCCTGTATTGACCTTTGAAGAATTTTTTGCATAAGACTGTGGTTAACTGATTGCAACTAATTAGAAGAGAGGAATAGAATAATGAACTGGGGTGAGTCCTCTACTTCTAATTCCATTTGCGTAGGTGCTGAAGTAAAATACCTTCAAGATCTATTTGAAAGGTAAAATAATTGTTATATTTATGCACTGCAGAGAAATCATGCTTGCTTGGCTCAACAAAACTGTTTCCTGGATGTATCAGGAGTTATATTTGCTGATTACATTAACAAGGGCTTCAATTCTACAAAGCAGTTATTAGAGCACAGCTACTCAGGTGCACACAGGTTCACTTTGTTTAAAACTGCATGGTCACAGACTAAACCTGGGTTTTACTAACAGTTCATGCTAGCATAGTAGGGCTAACAAAGCCAAATACAGACTGATTCCTGTCCTGTTCACACACTATACGTTGAATCGCTAAAGGTGCTGTAATCCCCATTGCCAGGGAGTGAAATTAAAGCTAAGAGTGAATGTGTTGGCTTCTTGTGCCTGCTGCAAGCAAATGCAGTGGAAAAGAATCTGACAAATATTTTCAGATATGAGTGGTAACCTAATCAAAACACAAGTGAAAAAAGCAAGGGGAACAATGAATGGTCTCTGGCGATGGTCTGGGATACAAAAGCAGCATGATTAAAAATGAAAGTGTCTGCCAGTATGTTCTCCTAATATGCATTCTCTTTAACACATCTTTAAAGATTATTTTGCACTGCAGAAAACATGTCAGTGTATGTGTGATGCAATGAGCAGCATCCATTTTTGATAGCATTGTAGAAAAAGTGAGACAGGTCTTGTACATGGCAGCAACCTTCTTACAGCTTTCATGTGTTAATTGATTTTTTCACTAGCATTGTCAATATGATAAATCAGTATACTTGAAACAGAATTATGAAAATACTGAAAAAATAATGATTCAAGAACCTATATTATGCTATCATTAACAGCAATATCTAAAAAACTACAAGATACTGTTCTATGTACAAGTGAACATGTATATTAACTTGTAAGTAATTCAATCAATATTCCAGATTTTTTATTCCAAGCTCCTAGCCTGGTATACAAGGAACCTGCACTATTCCAAGAATGAAAAGTTCCTTCACTGTTAGGAGGTGTAAATTTCAAAAGAGCACCCTTAGTAGATCCACCTTAACAATACGAGAGAGTAACCAAGTGGCTAAGGTACACACTTCTACTCAGAAAATCTGAGTTTCTGTCTACACCACTTAAAGCACCATACACTAAGCAGACCAACTTTTTTGCATAGAGGTGTCTGGAAATCCAAAATTCAAAAATCCTGATTCTCTTATTGTGTCTGTTTATTATCCTTGGCAAGAACCTTAGGTTTTGCACCTCAGTTTATCATCTAGTTATAAGGGATGTATGATTTATTTCACTACACTCTGGGGAAAAGCTGCCCATCTATCACTAGACAGCGGTGAACAACAGAAAAAAAAACAGCCTTCCCCCTGTCACCACCACCCCCCCCTCCGAAAAAAACACTACACAACACAAATCATAAAACAAAACAACTTGAACAAGCCTAATACCATCTACTCAATAGGACTGGCAGGTTTACCTTCACGCATTAATAATTATTAAAAATCAAATACAAGCTTGCACCTACACAAGTGTGCACAGAGACACTATGCACGTGTGTAATGTCACAGTATCTGCACAGCATTTTTACGTGTCTACCTGATGTTAGATGGATATTTAGATGCAGATCTGTAGCACTGGACAGATAATCAGGTATCTGTCAGGTAGCACTGGACAGAAAATTCCTTCTAGTCTGGCACATAAAGAAGAAAGCAATTCTGTGGTGTCTTCCATGCCAAAGTAGTGAACTTTTCACACAGTCAGAGGCACAGTTTTCTGTTTTACCTTTGCAGGGTCAGAAAAAACTGTTTCTGCAGCAGTACCCATGGGTGGGAAACATGTCAGAGTGTCCATGAGGGCTGAGAGCACAGCCTGAGTGGAGCCGACTCAATGCCTCCCAGGAGCCCTTCACAATTCTCAGACATGCTCTTCTTACCGTAAAACTTCTGCAGCCAGCCCAAGCCTCTGCCATGGCACTGACACCTTGATCACATGCAGCACAGGCTTTTTGTATTAGTGAGACATGCCAAGAACCAGAGAGGCAACACTCCTCTGGGCAGGCAGCATGCTGGCCAACTGGTGGGCCTCACTGGATGGGACATTACCTGGGAAGCAACACATGCCACCAGCGGGCTGCACATTTACCTCAGGACATAACCGCCAGCACACCAGATGTGTCTCTGTTTGCTGTGTGGTATCAGTGAGGACACTCATCTTTTTTATTTTTCCATAGAAAGAATGTTGCCAAAAGGTGAGGAAATGCTGCACAAAGTAACTATCCTAGAGTTCACCACTTCACTAACACAAAACTTCTTAGGGGCCTTTCCTGCACAACCCATCCTTTGTGTCAAATGCAAATTGCATTTTATTTGAAAGTGAATCGGCTGGATTTATCAATACTAAGGTCTTTTTGAAGTTTAAAATGTTCGAAGTTGACTCATGCAGGCACTGTATCCACATAATCTGTGATAAGGTGGCCACAGTATCTTAAATCAATTTTTACTGGTTTCAGAACAGAAATAATCAACATTTATATAGAAATTTCTCTGAATATTTCTTGCCTTTGAGTGGCTAAAAGACAATTGCTTTTATAGCAATATTATATTATGCTTCATAAACATACTGAGTATCAAACTGATCTTCTATAGGAAACAAAATTACAGGCATTTTATAAAAATTTAGATGTAATAGCTCTTCTATAACATCTGTAGAATCTAAAATTGCAGAGGTGTGGTATGTTAGATCTGAAGTGCACTGTGCAATTTCATTTTTTAGCAATAGTACTATACCGGTGATCCTTATTCAATATGCAGGTCACATCTGAATGGTTCTAATTGAGTCCTAACGTGCGAATCAGCATTTAGCCGCAGCTGCATTGCAAAGAGAATATTATAGTCTCTCTTACTTTTTAATGTCTGAACTTGCTACACTGTACTCTGCTTTTCAGTTCCCTCTAAGAGTAGGTTACTTGTATGATGGAGTTTTTTAATTGTGTTTAATTCCGAGACAGATTGAAAAAGATGTAAAAAGCCAACGAATTTTGACTTAAACTTCAGAACTGAAAAAAGGTAGACTTTCTCATTGTATTTGTAGGTAGAATTAAAGAATTATTGAACATAGCAAAATAGTCAGACATTGATTCTGATCAACTTTTGTATATTTCTCCTCTTGTTATTTCAAAATGTGTTTTGAATCACACAGCTGGAATACGGGTGCCTTGGAGAAAACTAGACCCATTTTCTTTACCAATACACTATTGGGGATTTTTGAATAACATTTAGAGAATGAAACCTGTGCCCTCCTGTGGGAGACTCATACCTCCCTGCCAGTGCAAAACACTGCCAGAGCCTGCCAGGTTCAACTCACTGAGGCTGTACTTTAACATCCATTTATGACAGCACTGTACTGAGATAAAGCAACCATCGTCTCACTTCGATGCTCCTTCCCATCCCTGCAATGCAGAAGCAGCAGATGGGAAAAGACAGGAACCACATTTGCTTTCTCTAGTGACCACAATGACAGAACACACCATGCCTAGAGGCTCCTATGTTGCTATGTTAATGCTGCAGAGTCCCACAATACCTTAATCACTTCCCCACTTTCAGCTAAAAGAGTGTTTCCCAATACTGCCAGTGGTATTTTAGCAGCATCAGGTAGGGGAATCAGTAGAAGAACAGACTAAAATTGTTTTGGCCTGCTTGGATATCTGTTAAGAAGGAGCTAACCAGCACCAGGTTTTGTTTAGTCTGATCTGCCATCCATCCATCCATCCATCCATCCATCCATCCATCCATCCATCCATCCATCCTGTATACTTAGTTTCACAAATAAAATGCAGACCATGAACACCTTGAGTTCCCAGAAGGGAAGGGAGATTGGGGAGGGGGGAAGAAGGGGCGTGGAGTAGTTCCAGGGAAAGTGATATTACAGAAATACATATTTTCAGCTGCCAAACATTAATAGACCATGTAAATGCATTAATTTAATTGCCTTTTTGTACTGTTTCTACTCCTCTGACATTCTTTTCTCCTATTCCCATTATCTAGCATCTGATACATAGCACACTCTTCCCAGCACACTCTGCCAGGGCTGAGAACTACTTTTCCCCTCTGCTTTACACATCCTTGCCTCCAACACCTGGTGCTCTGCTTCTGCTTGGCTTTTAGTCAGGGTCCTCCTTCTCTTTTCTCCTTAATCAGGTCTTACTGTTCAGGACAGAGTTGGACAGAGTCTTGGGTGACATGATTTAGTGTGGGGTGGCTCTGCCCATGGGTGGGGGGTTGGAACTACATGATTTTAAGGTCCTTTCCAACCCTAACTATTCTATGATTCTATGAAAGTAAATTTCTCCTGTTGACACTTCTCATTGATTTGCAGTCCGACGGGCTTTCCTCATTTCCATCCTTCTCAGC